CATTACACAATATAAAGGATGCAAACATAGGATGCCTTCTGTCATGCAACTAGAGAACTCACTTCTGATTTCCTGCCGCAACCCTGATTTTACAGTGCTTACATCCCAGAATTTTGTCTTTGCTGTATTTGGGATTTCTTTTCTTTTTTGATTGCCTTTTCGTTGACAATGGTGGTAATTCCAGTGTTATTTTAAAAGATGCTTAAGTGGTACCTGATTCAAGACTCTTACATTGCTTTGAAATTTCAAAATCCTAAATTCCCTTTCAACAAAGACAGAGCTGGAAGCACAGGAGGACAGCCCTGATGTACACCAATTTATCTTAATTCCCCAAACTCAAGCCAACTGCTTTCAGTAATATTCCACTGAGGAGCTGATATTGATGAAACTCTGCCAAATACAAGAGCAAAATCCCTTTTTTCAATTAGATGTTTTTAACATCTCCAAAACAGAATTCCATCATGCGACAACATCTTGAATTAATTGAGCTACGGGCAATCCTCATTCTTTTTGTGTACTACGAAATGTAAGAAACACAGATGCTGTCTGTTTAAACTGTCAAACAAGTTTCCTGATGGTAGCTATCATGTCTGCTACAGACTTGTTGGTTTAACAAATGTTGTGAATGCAAAGTTGGAACATGTGTGCAAAATATTCCAAGCTATAAACATCAGAATTGTTAGAAGATTGGTGAAGGTTTGCACCATCATCACGAGAAGGGCTATAACTGCTCTGGCCGTTTTGCTGAAGGGTTTCAGGGAGCCTTTTCTATTTCAAATATGACCACGCTTATTGTGAAAAGCCTCATCACTCAAAACAGGAGACCCTTACTTAAAACTGCAGGCAACTAAGCAAATAGGTGGCGCATAAAAAGCCTTCCATTTTTCTTGGTTCAAGTTAACAACAAAAGAAATACTGCAGGTAACTTATGGCCTTTCTTATTAGTACAATCCTTGAAAAATAGGAGGATTAACTCAGCAAGAACACTGAGAAATTTCAGATACTGCATCTAACAGCCAGGCAGCATCTTGCCACACACATTTCTATAGGTAAAATTGTTGAGAAGTCTGACAAGCAGGAGATCTTTGGGACACACCAGTTACTATTGCAGGTGTGCAGCAGGGAAAAGGGACAAGGCCACACATGAAAACGTTCAGAAAAGGGATGGAATCACAAGATGTGTGGTTCTTCCACTGCGCTCCTGAAGTCAGAGGTGGCACAATTAAGATAAACCCTTGAGTTTATAAAGTCATGTTGCACCCTAACTTCAACCTCTTAAGAAGGACAAGTGTTTACAGCTTTGCTATAGTACATGGCTATTTCTTGATCCAGATGATTTTTATCTCCAGTAAAAACAAGGTGCATAGACAAATATTTGTTGCATTTGTTGTACCACCAGAAGGTTCAGGAGATTTTAATCCTGATTATAAAATTATAAAATACACTAATGAACAATGGTATAGAGAGGTTTGAAAAGGATCACAGATGCTGGCTGGAACAGGAGCTGGGAAACCTCTTGTTATGTCAGAATCAAATTTTTTATTAAATATTACTACAGGTCACTAGTGATTGCAGGACTTCTAATGAGGATGGACTGCTGGCTTTTAAAACCACCATATAATTTCTGTTCAATGCAGAGTAAGAAAAAATGATTTTTGGAGCCCATGCAGAAGAGAGCTCAGTCTCGCTGAAGGGCATTTGATTTCCCTTTTTTTTTGAGAAAAGTAGAATCACTTCTAAAGGCCTCAATAACTATGTAAGGGTAGGAAACCATTCTGCACTCAGCTGTCTCGATTTTAAAGTAGTTTATCTGCCACAGTCATAGTCAGCAAGAGTGATTCAGAATGATGGGATTTTGAGACTCTTAAAATTTAAAAGACTTTCAAGTACCAGCAAATTGAAAAATAAGGTGCCCATGGGGAGAGTCATGACATTGTGAAGCTGTAGCTTCAAGGCATTTTGGATCAATGTACAATGTGCTGTGCATAGGACTTAATGAAACAGTTACAGCCCTCCCGCTGATTGTCTTTGTTTTCTACCATGAATCAATAGATTATCAACTGTAAATGTCAATGCGTTCCTTTGTTCCTAGGAGGTCACTCTGCAAGGTAATCATGAAGAACACACACTGCTTGACTAAATATGCTTTTGAATTACTAGCTATGAATATGTGTCTCAATTTCTAAAGAGTCTAAAGAACTGAAAGATGCTCATATGTGCAAAAGAAAAACTGAGGATACAACAAAAAACCACCAAAGGAAATGTGAACGGAAAATCAGCTGCTAAAAAGCATCAAAATCTTCAGGTATAGAAAGTGTATTCCTCTTTGTAAATGGGAGGTGTATTTTGACAACTTCACTCCTTTGGATTAGGAAAGAGTTTTGCCTTTTCAGGAACATCCATTTTTAACTTCAGCAAGTCTCATTTTTCTATTTCAGTGTTCTGCTTTTTCCCACTATGTAAATAATAATTATTATTTTTATTTTATAATACAAGGCAATAAAAGAAAAATATAGATTTAATATATTAAAAGCAGATCAAAAGAAGATGCATAAGCTCCAATTTCATTACACCGCACTGGGATTCCTAGAATATCTCTATCCCATTAAACAGGCCCATGAATACAGGAGGTTTTAGAGGATCACGACCTGAAGCAGGTGTTGGTTTGGAGTGACGGGTGTCAGTAATGAGGCGGGGTGTTGCCTGATGTCAGAAGCTGAAGCTGGTCGGTGTAAAGCTGAAGACTACATGTCAGTCAAGGTGCAGCACTATTCCAGCAGCTTTGCCGCCAGGTCCCACTTAGGGTTGCTACCTTTTATCCACGCAAATGCCCTTCTCATCCCAGCTGAATACTGCAACTGCTGAAGTTTTGTCAGACTGCTGCCATGTTTATTTTCGCTGAGAAGGCAGTGTCTCATATATCCCCTTATTACAACTTGGTAAGAATGTGCTAATTTATGCCTGGCTGAAACGTGCTGACAGCCTCCAACTGAAAGAAGGAAGCAACAGAAACACTGCTGCCTCACAGCGCCATGGAACATCCCCATTTCATGTAGGAATGGCAATGCTTCTCCACAGAAGTATTTTCAGGAGACAGAGGGAACAAGCTATAACAGTTACGCTAAAGCATACAAGCTCTCAAGGATGCTAACATACCAAGAAGAGTAAAAAATACAGTGTATGATATTATAGAATATTATACAATGACAATATTGTACAATAACCAGGAAATCAAATGTGCTGATTTGAAAGGCCAGCAAGGGAGAAGTCCCCACTCCCCCGATGGCCAGGGTGAGACTTAGGGCACCACAGCCCCTTGAGAAGAGGCGCAGTAACTGGAGCAGGACATTCCTCTGAACCCCAGTTCCTCCAACCCATGACCTTGTTCCTGGAAAGCAGTTATTGACTCCCTTTACTGAAGCCATTTTAGAAAGGAATATTTACAAGACATCTGGGATTTTCCAGACTGCAAACATTTCAGGGATGAGGATAATCTCAATTTGAGGACACATGCAGCCGCCATCACAGCAAAGCCTCTTCCAGTTTTCTGGGCACTGCAATAATGTCTTTGTATGAAAAATAATAAGTAATTTAAAATTGGGAACCTTGTTTTTTCATCTGATCTGTCTTTGACCACTTTCATCTTGAGCAATAGAGACTAATATCTTCACAAAACAAATGGGTTGTGATGCCCTTGGCAAAAAAGAAAAGTGTTGTAGTCTCCTGACCTCTAAGTTCACTATTAGAAAACTTATTTCAGCATCCTTTTATTCCCTGTGTAGGTGAGAAAGAAATCCTGATACCAAAATAACTTAGGTTAAAAACAAAAGAAGGATAAGGAGAAAGCAGAAAAATTATGCACTTCTGATTATTTTTTTTTTTTTAGCTTTCACAGTCAACACACTAGAAACCTCGCCAGGACACCTATTGACAATGAGATTTTTTTGGGGGGAAGGGTAGGTGTGAACTGAGCATTGGTTTTTTAAAATAAAATTTTGCATTTGACTTAAAAATCAGTTGGCTTCTGAAAACAGAGGGCCTTAGCAAGGCAACGGACAAGCTGTTGGTAACTGAAAAGTGCAACTACCAAGTTAATCGTGGGTGAGTGCAATACCCACCTCTTGCACCAGAAGAGGCGAGCACCCTTTGTTCATTTTTGGAGACAGCATTTTTCCTGAGGTGCACTGGTTTAGTTGTTGCAAACCCACTGAGAAATATAGAGCAGCTGTCAAAATGCACGCAATAAACAGTATATTAGACATTATTAATGGTCCTACTGCACACAGTTTGATAGGAACAACATGGAAAGGAATAGCATCAAAAGCATTTTGAGATGGGTAACTCTGCCAACTGGCCCCTCCTTGAGTGTTCTGCAGATCTTAATTTCATGAACATACTAGAGATGTAACATATCTAACAAATCTGGTGTTATGAAATCTAGACTATTTGTCTTGAAATAGCTTTTAATCCTGATTTTTAACAAATTTGTGCTTCATTTTAACAAATCTGTGCTTCATTCAACTAATGAAGCCAGAACTTGGTCAAGCCCACCTGACAATTTTTTTTCTGATATACCACAAATAAGAGCAGAGTAAAAAATTAAGTTTGGAATGAGATGTTAATAAAAAAGACCCAGAAAATCTGGATCCTCAGGCAAGAAGTAACGTTAGGGCTATGATGGACTTCGTAAGCTGGAACATGCCCTCTGCTGGCTGCAGGTTAAGAGCATCTAAAGAGAGAAAAACTATGTTTGCTGGTATAGTAAGGGTTGGTTCTTCATCGTATTTTACTGAAGTCTGGTAGATAAACAGAAAATATGGATGTGTATTAAACAGAAAAGTCAGTCAGGATAGCGACAATTATTATTTTGAAAAAGCAACATTTATTTGCTGATGTAAAACACTGAAATAATTAGTACTTTAATTACAGGGCACCACACTAAAAAAGTGGATCAATGGTGGAATACTTAAGAAAGTTCAATAAAATATCTTAAAAACATGAGTATTAGGAAAGGTAATTGGGATTGGTCAGATTAGGAAAAATACCAGCAGGCTGACTTGGTAACAATCTTTGAAAATGTCTAGAGCTGTTGCAAAGAGGAACCTCAGTGATGGTTCTTCATATTCAGGTGGGACAAACCCAGCCAGGTTCACTTGCAACCAAAAGTATGAAAATTAACAGGTATTAAAAACTTTCAGTAACAAGGACACTATTCCTTGCAGAAAATCACTTTAAGGAGCTTATTGAACTGCCTTCGTTAGAGACTAACGCAAGCAGTGAGGTTCACCCCTGTGAGGGATGGTGGAGCCTGGGGAAGACAAGGGAGAAGCAGCAGACAGTTTTTGGAAGTCCCATCCAGCCTGCACTTGTCTGCTTCTATGGAGGCATCAAGCGAGAATTTCAACAAAAATAATGTAATTTCATTCCTTAACTTGAGCTTTTTGCCATAAATGCAGTACACTGACCTTAACGTTTTTTTTTAATATTCTACAATGCTCCACTGATTCTTCCTGGACGACGACAATCAGATGTCACAGACAAAGGGAAATGAATGAAATCTGACACATTTATTTTAAAGCCTGCAGCAGACTAAACTGTAAATAAATCCTGCTTTTTCTGCAGCACAAAGGTTGCAGACTGACTGTCCCCGTGGACTCTGCTCTCTTTTCACTACTTAACAGACTTTCTAACACTTTCTTTTGTCCCGATAGGAATCTCTCAGCAGGCCTTTTGGCAGACACACGTATTATGTGTCAAAACCAAAGTGGAAATAACTGATGGGAAGCACAAAAATCTGATGGGAATAGTTATAATAAGGAAATGAATAAACATCAAAACAGTAGAATATAACCATGAAGAGATACAGCCAGAAAGCTTCTGAGCTGCTACTTGTCTAAGATGATCAGTTAAGAGCCACTATTTTCAGAGTTAAGATTGGTTCGTATTACGCTATACTTGGGTTTAGATGTTAATTTAATCTATTTATATTCCTATTTATTTCAATGCTGTTAGAAAACAAAGTTCTTGCAAGATGAGCTTTAGATGTGCTATAAAATGTATATAGTAGATTCATTTATAGAATACTGTTTTATTCAGGAATCCACTGACCACAACTAGCAACTGGATAGGGTGTTTAGTATGAGTTACTATTGTACATCTGCTCCCGTAAATGCCTTTTGGCTTATACAACTTATTTTAACACCCTCTGTTATCTTTGTACTTAAGCAGTTCTACTCACAAAATGTTCTGTTTAGTAAGTGCTTGTATACTTGGCGACTTAGTCACTGTGCTTTTAAAAAAAAAAAACCCTCATAAAATGAGCTTATTATAATCAGCCTAGCTGGTACACTCATTTTGTTAGCAGCTATGGTTAACATATATGGTTAGCACCATGTATAAATGGTGTTATTTATACATTTTGTTTTCCATAGTGCATTTTTATTTCCCCGGTGAGACTAATATCTGTCTCATAACTGAAGGCAAATCACACGGCTACTTCCCTGTTAATGCTCCTCTGACCAGCAGCCGCCTTCAGCTCCTCTCTCCCCTTCCTCGGCGTCACCTTCCGCTGCTGGTGCTCGAGCCTGACGGAGGAACGTGGCTCACCACCCTGGCCTCCGCAGGACAGCCACACAGTCAGGGCTTGGAAACTCTCCATTGCTTTGACTAACTTAAGAAAACAAATCATTTGGCAAGTGGAAACATAATCTGGCTTTTTTTATGCTCAGTATGTGAGATCATATGCGAGAGGCTCTGAAGGCGCAGTTTTATAAATATATGGGGTACGGTATGTGGCTACGATGGTTCTGGAAACGCTGATGATTTCCCTGAACTGTGGTGATGACTTCTGCCCTAAATATTGTCTACACCTTTCCAAATGCAGACTCTTCCCATAGCAGGACTGGGACAGAAAGAGCAAGAAGAACCACTAAAGCTTGGGGGGGCAGGGGAGGACAGTGGAGATGAAAAGACTGATGAGGAGAACACATAATATACATGTCTGAAGGATTATCTGGGACAACCAGAAAGAGAGGGAATTCAGAAATACATGGCTGATCAGGCTGGTAGCTTCAGAATGATCACCTGGCAAAGATAGTAACAGAACTTCAAAAAGAGCAATGGATATAGACTCTAAAGGAGCAATGAAACAGAAAAAATAAATGCTCCCAGGAGTATGATTTGAAGGACAGAGCCTTGTGCACTGGACCACTGCAAGCCTTGGCACACCAAAATTTCGAGCCTTGGTGGCACTAAGCTTCAACAGAAGTCTCATTCAGGAATGCAGAATTAGCTGGAATTCTGCCTCACTCATCAGGACATCGAATCAGCGCTTGATTATCTGTGCACATAATCCAGATTTCTGTGTTGCTTGTTTGGCTGCTTACTTCAGAGAAAGGTTTTTTTCCAACCAACCAGAAATGGTATAGTCCAACTAAAATAGCTAGTCCTACCTAGTCTCCATTTGTGAAAAGACTCTTTATTTTATTCTACTCTATTCACAAAAGAATTATAAATTCTGTTTCAAAGCATAAACTCTTCATCAATCTGTCTAGCTAGAACTAAAATTTAGTTCTAAAATTTGCTCATGTGTGTTGTACCCCTTCAAATTACTGCAACTCTGACTTCCCTGATTTTGCTGTTCACTGGACACTTAAGTCAGCCTCCAAGATCATGAATTCCTAAAGTAAGACAGAAATCACACTCAGAGCTATTACTTACTTATAATAATTCACAGAGACTAGAAATAACTTTATTTTCTATACTTACAAGTCAAACAAGGCCGGCTGAAAAGCAATTACAAACTCAACATGCGGGTTCTTTTGCATTTACTGAAATGTGTTGATGCTGGAAATGAGTAAGCTCCCCATTTATTTCCAGTTAAAACAAAGAATGGTATGTTTTAGCACTGGTCACAGCTCTGCATTTTCTTACCACCACTCCATGCTCATTTATCAACAGATGATAGAACAAGGCAACCTTACTTTAGGGATTAACTCTCACCACCTAACGACACTAAAAAAAAAAAAGTCTTATCAAGTAGTTTGTACTTAATTAAATATCGCTAACTGCAATAATTCTCAAAGACAATATCTTATTAAATAAAATTGTAATAGTGGTGAATTTTCAGCTCCACTGAAGTCAATGGCAAAATTTACAGAACTTCATCCTCAGGCTCTATTCCACTTCTTAAACAGGGATAGAGCTATCAGTCCTGAAAAATACTGCACCCATTTCCTTCTAAAATAACATTAAAGCAGCAAGTCAGATCTCTGCATACTACATCAGATGAACTCAATTTTTGAGTTAATCTCAATGTTGACCTTTTATATGTTTACATATATATATATACACATATATATATATATATGTATATATATGTGAGTTCAGTAAGAGTCAGAAGCCCAGCATGCCATGGTGCTGCAGTTCCCATGGAGGTCAGAAAGTGAAAGCACCGTTTCAGAATTCACAGGAAATGGTCATTTAACTTTAGTGGTCACACTAACGACAAGCTCAAGCTGTACTCAATTTTCAATTTATACTTATCTCACTTTTCTTTAACTGCAGTCCTTAAAAGCTCCCCAAGAGAAACAGAGCATCAGAAAAAAAGTCTAATACATATCTAGGAAGGCATATCAGTGACAAATAGCGGGCACAAAAAGATGGAGGTCTTCAAGAACTCTCAGTGGTGACATTAAGTCTGCTCTCTTGCAATTTAACAGAAACTTTAACTTCTCCAGGAGCACAGCAAGGCCATCACGAAATGGTTTTGATAATCTTAAAGATTTTGCAAGTCATACTGGAATTCCTCTGTGCTCATTAACTGATTTTATATCATATAAAAAGGTTTTCTCATTTCTTTTAGTTTTAAACCATATGGGCATCACCATTTTTCAACACATTATGTAGGCAGAAAATGTTATACTATTTGATGTTTCACGGAGTGGCAAGGGTATTTTCTCCACAGAGAAGAACTCCTTATAATAACATTCAGAAGTAGTATTTAGTGGTTCTCCTGTGGCAATAGGTAAGATAGATAAGACATGGACAAACTAGATTATACAGTATACAGAAATTTCTCAGTACCAGGCAACAGATAAACACATACCAGATATAATGCTGACAGATATAATCAATTTTGTTGCAGACTGGGAGTAGATCAATACAATACAACCCAATCAATAAAACATAAAATTACTTTTTAAAATTACTGTTGAAGCTCTAGTCTATACCAATAACATTACAATGATGAAACAGATATGAGAAAAAAAGTTAAATCTACAATGCACTTGAATCCCAAAATTCTTATGTCTGTTCCACATAAAAATCAATGATTAATAATATTGGCCAACTGTTTAAAATTAAATCAAGCCCATGAATGATAGATGTAACCCTCAAAGGGTAAAATTGAATTTGGCTCCTTTCTGGGGAAAAACACCTACACATATATATTTCTTGAATAAGAATATTTCCTCAAAGGTTAACAGGAAACTTCAAGTTGATTCAAGGTAAATACTAGCTTCTGTTATCCAAGAAGGTAAGAAATACAAATGCATTGGTACTGTTACGATGCTGTAATACTTACTGATTTATACAACAGCATTATTTCCCAAAGTTCCTATAGCTTGTATGATTTGATACGGACACAGACTACTAATGACAATGTTCATAGATCAGATAATAAAGTGCTTTCATAAAGCATCGCAACTTCCTGTGTTTCCAACAAAAATAGTTAGTAAAATGTTATTAATGATGTTAACCTGTGAGCTGCTGCACCATAAACAAAGCAGCCAGTAAAAATGCAGGAATATGATATTTAAGTCTTCGCATATGATTTTGCAGAAAAAAAATTACAACAAATCCCAGCAGTGGTACCTCATGTCTTATTTTTAGCATAGTTCTGAGATGTGCACTGAAGAGCTATAGGATAAACCTCCCAAGCTCTATTTCGCATTAGTGATGTGCATTGAAATACCCACTCTTTTTAGACAAAGGATAAGGCTTATACCAAAAAACCCACTGTGCCACTTGGCTGCATATCTTTGGTATATTTATAGTGCAACTATTCTGTTTCATCTCTAAAGGGGAAAGTTTTCCAAAGCACTGCATCCCCTGCCACTGAGAACCTACTATGAACTCCTACATTCACTAGGACCTCAGACACTACTTCTTTGAACGAATGAAGAATGTGCAGTGAAAGTAATTTCTTCCTGTTTTTAAATACACTATTGAAATAAAATTAAACCATGCCAGATTTCACATTAGAAAGTAACAGCACATTTCAATTCTCTTGCAAGAGTTTATGTGCATACAAATGCGAATATAAATTTCATGGCAATTTTTAATGACAGATATCCAAGGTGCTATTTCAAAACATTTGTAATTTAATTATTGTTAATCTAGATTTAGTCAACCTTTGTCTCTACAAAAAAAAGACACCTGTTTTTAATTTTGCTTACTTATAATTATTCAAAATGGATAGAAAGGCTAGAACTACTTAATTAAAATATACTGCAAGCATGTTTTTCTAAACTTATATTGCTAAAGCCTTGCTGTATTGAAAGTTTTATTGGAGTTGGACTTTAAACACAGTAGCATGTATTCACACAAGCCTAGATATATACCTGCATTTCATACTGCTATTTGAGCAGGCATACCAACACACAACTATAGTACATGTCATCCAGTGGCAGTGCAATAAAATGTAGCGCCATTGAAATGCTATTTAATGATTTTTCAACTTCTAAACAACAGCATTCTTTCTGAACAGGTTTGTCCAACCAAACTTGCATATTGCTGAACACTGGCTTCGTCGCTTGGCCCCTTCCTTCTTTTCTTATACACACTGTAAGGCATCACGGTTCTCTTGTGAAGTACTCTCACTCTGCCCAGTTCCTTAATACGACCTTCATCAACTGCCAAGAGAATTAGAGAATACAAAAATTAGTTACGTATATTGTCCACATGATCTTAATTTATGCAACTAACTTCAACATGCATAATGAAAACTGTATGAAGTAATAAAATTAATCTGCAGATGCACAGCAGATGAAAGCAGAGCTGATCTACAGAGCAGTCTTCTTGAATCATGGCTGAAAACAAAACCTAGCCTGTGAAGTAACTGTATTTGTGGCATGTGAAAAAATAAGTCATGCATCACACACTTCTAATGGTGATATACAGCATTTCTGAAATTATCTCTACTGCTGTATTTTAAAATTCACGTTCATTTAATGCTTGCTGGAGTGCACTGCCAGAAGTGAAACTCTATCTGGCAAATACTTTCAAACACAACCGACCAGAAGAGACTTGCTGTTATTGCCATATTGCACTTAATTACTACACCGCTTGCAAAATCCACCAGCACAGAGCACTCCCTTCCCTTTCCCCAATTGTGAAAAATGTATTAAAACCAGCAAGAAGCCCCCACACTGTTTGCCATAGGTAAGCACAAGGCAATAAACTACCTTCCCAGGTGAAACTCCCTGGCCCTCCAAGCCCTCATCTTTTTTCCCCTCATTTATATTGGTTTCCGAGTTTCTCCAGCAGAATGAAGTTAAACACATGCCCTTACTTCAAGTCTGATCCCCGCGCTCTGCAGACCGACACAGTTAGCAGCGCAAGCGCTAGCTGGGTGGGCACAGCATAATTCCTCAAGCTTTCAAAGATACACACACCATAGCTGAATTTTATTAACCTCACCTACACACCCCTTGTGACTTAATTTAACCAGAATCATACACATAAGAGCACTGTTGAACAAGTTAAAACTTCCTTATTTTTATGAATCCAATTGATGCTACTATTGCTTAATAATAATGTTCTATAGCTGCTGCGTGTCAGAAAAATTGGCCCTACAGTGCTAGAAAACTCTTTAAAGAAAGTGAGAGAACATGCCACATGCCTAAGGCCATTGCAAGATAAATTAATAAAATTATTATAAAATATCAGTAAAAGAAATCTTGGGAGTTTTCTGAACTTCACGTTTAAAAAGCCACCGATGTAAGAGTCAAACACAGAAGCTGAAATCTGAGTTTGAGAATAGAACCATAAAAATGCAAATAGTAACAGAGATGCTAACTAGGAGATGAGCATCTGGGGACGCGAACTATGCAAACACTCAATATTTGTTTTGGTATCAAGACGTTATTCTGACTGAAGAGACAGCACAGCTAAGTATAATTGCTTAGCTTTAAGTACTGCATCAATCTGCCCCAAATTAAAATATTTTATATGTTCATGTACTTGCTTCATTTAGGTTAGAACAATTAAGGCTCCTTGAACAGGATCTGAATGGTATCCACTCTACACCATTCCCGCTTACAATACCCGCAGTGAAGCCTTCTGCTGATCATCGGCTGACTCAAAATCAAACCAACTGCTGTGAAAAACCAGGCAATTCAAATAGCTACTTCATGGGCAAAAATAGTTTGTTGCTGGTTGTTTTTTTTATAAGAGAATAAAGCAGAACTTTCTCGGCAAGTTTCACAAACAGCAATAGATCCAAAGTGCAGAGGATATGACACCAGGTCAGGGAAGCAAACTGGTCACCAATTCCTGTCTTACTTTTTCTTTTTGTGTACCTGAGGCATGCTAGGCTTGCCACAGGTAAGCTAAGGAACTTGTCTGCAAGAATCTGGAAAAAATCCTTAAGACAAATCTCTATTCAAATGTAGCCCGTGCTATAAAGAAGCTTAATATTCTTTCTGCTTTATTAAAGACAAAGGAGGTCATTAAATGCTTTTCTTTGCAAGACATTCTTAAGACCCTGCCCTTATTCATCCACAGAAAAGCCTTATAAACATTTTTCTGCTGATGGCCTGAATTCAGTATGTGAAACTTAACGAAGCCTGCTTTACAAAGTTTGGAATGCCTTCATTACTTTTATCTATGTTTTGATTCCTAACTTGAAAGGACAATGTATTTCTTAAGATTTAACTAGGAAAATGTGGTTTGAAGGAAGAAAATCTGAATAGCACTTGCTAAGATTGCATTCTTCACTAATTATTGTTGGCAATTGCTTTAGATAAACACTCAAGTCAAAAACACTTTATGGCTTTCTCTCCCTCTTCGAAATCCATTAGGTTTTTGATGCGTGGCCAACAACACCTTTCTGATATCCCAACAGATTGGTTTTACCAGCCCTACTGCCTCTTCTATTACATCCTCCTCATTTCTGAAAGTTCACCAAGGAAACATTTGCAAGGTTAGCTTCTGGAAGTGACACAAGTGTAAAATTATTTTAACTTCTTAAATTTAAAAGTTTTTATTTACTGCACCTCTAGGCTGACTGTAAGTTTGTGTCCTGAAGTGGATTTACACCAAGCCTAGCCTTCATAGCCTCATGCCAAAAGCACTTTCAAAGCCGTTCACTACTCACTGTTCGATACTCATTGCTTTCACGTAATACTGAAGCCTGATAGTCTGGATGAGTTCATCTTTTGGCTTGCAGTGTTCCTGGCCCCAGATTCAATTTCTTACAGTGACTAAAGCTACTGTACTGTTCGTTTCACTGTAGCCTTACTGGCTCAGCTGAACTCTGTTCTTGTTGCTCAGCATTTATACCCTTACTCCGCTTTTACTCATTACATCAAGCGCAGTGGGTGCGTAACCCTTCCTGCAGTCGGGCCCATGCCACTCTAGCTGTGCAGCCACATGAAACAGTTATTATGACAAGGCTTCTAGCAAATCTGTTAAGCAATTCAGCCGAGTGCTTGCTGGGCAGAAGTAAGGTTTGCCAAGCCACACTGTACACCAGTCCTTTCTTGGACTGTGGCACAGGTTTATAACACAACCCTCAGGCTCTCCCAGAGCAATCGAGAAAATACCAGTAACTTGAAAAAAATCACTGTAGTGGGAACACTTCAGACATGTTTTAAACTTCACACAGACAGTATAAACTACATATGTAAAGACTTGGTAATGACTTTATCATCAGGAAAAGTTTAAACCCAGATTTGTTTGGTCTTACAAACTTACATTTGATTGACTGTATTTATATTTCTTCTACACATTAAGGGTGATTCCAGATTCTTCAAAGAAGGTATGAAAGGCAGAAAAATAATAGCCCTTAACATGTTCAGAATGTCTTTACAAAGATTACCTGTTTTAGTGAACATTTTTCCATTGACTCCCTCCAAAATAAAAACTTTAATCATAAAAATAACCTTCTGTAAATGTACTTAAATATATATAATTAAAACTCCATCTGACAAAGAAACCTTTTACTGAAATGTTAAGTATCAGTAAAATAATCTCAGGTACATAGTTGAGCTTTTAGAGAAGGAACTGGTGCCACCATAATAACAAATCCCTAAGTTAAAATTCAGCCACCTTTCAATTGCTACTGCTCTGGAGGCAACCCCATATGAATTCAGGGAAGTACTCCCTTTATTCGTGATTTAAACCTAAGCAGAATAGCTTCAAGAGAATTTAATGGAAAACAGAAAAAGATTGAGCTCTGGTATTGTTTTAAAAAGAAATTACCCCCACAAAAAGAAAAAATTAATATTTGCTCTGATAAAGTTTGCTTTATATTTAAGAAGATGCCAATTCTAACAGCCCTTCTCTCTGTGACCAATGCTGGGATACAGCAACTGGGCACAATCCCAATTCAAAATGAAATTACTTGCTGAAAATAAGAAAAACATCCTGCCAATAAGTATTATTTCTGTGCTTTATTAAAGCAATTTCTATTTCCAGAAGGACCCAGGCTAATCAGATAGTAGAAAAATATGTTAGGGCAACGTTAATAATTCTTGTAAGTACTGAATGCAATATTGTTACCATTAAAAAGTTTAAAAATCTTATTTTTTCCTCCTCACACTTTCCCCACACAGTTTTTATACCTCCTGAGTCTCCAACTAACCTCTGCTTCTCCTCACAAGTAGTTGGTGCATTTATTTACAGAAATCTCAAACAAAATAAAATCATGGATTTGAAGACAAAATTTCTTTTGCGTGTGCATAATTGTTAGATGCCTCATCAAGTTGTAATTTATAGCCAGTTAATTTTCTAAGGCTTGCTTCTTTAGCCATCACCCTAGTCCAGCCTTGTATGACAAAACTAGACCTTGTACGCCATGGTTTCAAAGACTGTGCCACACAGCTCACATGGTAAGCTGCTTCTTAAGAATATTGTAGAAACCATCCTCCTCGAAGTCCACATTTTGTTCATTTAAGTGAGTACCACTGAGTCCTGGGACATATTTTTTATGGGGTTTTTTTTACTATTTTTTATAATTTATGTATTTCTGTGGATTCTCTCCACACTTCTGGAACCACTTCGCCTTCACCATTCAAAATGACTGGATTTGGTGGAAGCAGTTCTATTAACAAAGAGCGTTATAAATAAGCAATAGTACTATAAGGAGGTACTAATAATAGTACTAATGTCCATTTCAGTTCTTGGGACTTTGCCTTTGTGTCTGTGAAAATTATCTTCTCATGGAGTTGTTGATTAATTTTAGTCTACATAATAGACACTGTCACTTCACATATAAAACAGATAAAATGAATTATGGGGTTAAATCTTATGTATCGATATAGTTTGGATCGTAAATACACAAAAACCCTAAACTTCAGATAAATCAATTTTGTAGATAGAAAGTACCTGTCACTTTAGGGAACTGAGCAATTGCGAATGCCAACTGTCTTTCTTCACAGAAATATCCCATCAGTCTCAAAGCTAAAAGAACTCTGAATTCTTGTTGCACAAATTGTTACTTCTTTCTCTTCTCCCCTATAGTCCTAAACCAGAAAGTTATTTATATAGCATTCATCTATTGAAGACATTTCATCTACAGGAGACATTTCATATATAATCCAACCTTGCCATCATGATCCCATAAAAAAATTGCAACAAGGTGTTAAAATTCTTTGTTCCCACCCCCACATCGCTATTAAATGCAATTCAT